ACAGGCTGTAAAATCTAAACGGTTAATTTTAGAGGAAAAACAGTTCCACATTCGTGTCTTAGATTTTCATAAACTATCATTTGACACCAACTTGTACGTATTTAACCTGAGATTAAAGTTTTAACCGGAATTTTTGTTCAGGGATTAAATTCAAAGTTGCTGTAAAATGATAGTTTATAAAAATCTAAGATGAGAATGTCAGCTCGGTTTTAAAGCCTGTCAAGGTTGCAAAAAAGTGAATTTCCGACTGTCAATATTTCCAAAACAGTTGAACTTAGGGATTAAACAAGGGATTGAAATTTACTACCAAAATGTATGGAATTAAAAACCCTACAAAATGATGTATCACTTGACCCCCCTTTCCATTTAAGATTTTCTAGGGGGTGGCTCTGGCGGCTAGGGGGTTGAAAGGGGGGAGGTGAATTTTGCATAAAAACTCATCCCCCTTCAAATTATAGTTGACGTGTTTCAGCGATTTTTCCGAAAATTTTCAACTCCCAGATAATAGGGGTGGTAAGTTTTTTAAAATGAACACCCTGTATACTCGAGTCTATAGGCCTCTTTCAAATTTTTCAAAAACATATTTAAATTATTGATTATTGTATTAGTCGTTTTAATAACATCTCTACATATGCTTATTTTTGAAAGTAAAAATTATTCGAAAATCGAATTTTTAAACTGCGATGCGAAAACGCAGGCTAGGGCTATGACGACAGAGTCCCAAAAATGCAAGGATGACGAATTTATCATTACTGCCTCGACCTCGAATATTATATATAGTATTGTACTATTAAGCAAAAACTTAGCAGTTGCATAAATAGTACCAGCTGTATGCAACATCCTCTTTTAACTTAAAAGCGCTTTTTAAAACTGGTACCTTTAAAAATTTGTATGGCTTAGAATACACATTTTTAAAAGTGACCAGTTTTAAAAAGCCCTTTTAAGTTAAAAGAGGATGTTGCATACAGCTGTACATCTTTTAATTCAATTTTATCTCATGTCCGACGTGACTATCTTTGTCTAACTCATATGGATTCGTCGAGTTTGGAACTATAAATAGTATATAGCTTCTGTTGTGTTTGTATTCTGTAAATTGTATCCTGTACTATGATCCTGTATCCATTTATTCATCAGTTATGGGATTACACGTGTTATTATATTTTTGTCTCTTGTCACTGGTACCTTGTAATTGTATTTGTGTCTTCAGTCTAAAGATGGTACGTACCCAAATTTTTACGAACCTTAAAAAATCTAGAAAAAAAGAAGACAAAAATATAATGTAGGTACAGGGTCGTCGTATGTATGGAAACGGCCTGATATTTGAGAATGCGCTTAAGAAAAATGTACAGTCGCACAAAAAGTGGGACACCCGTTTTTTCCTATTGTAAAACGGGCTCACCAGCTATACCTACGGCAATGACAGGGATTGTCATATTTGACAAAAAATTGATTGTAGAGAAAAGCCTGATTTACGCAAAATAGCGAAAAATTACAAGACCTGTCAGTCGGGTGTCCTACTTTTTGTGCTCATGACTGTACAATAGTAGAGTTCGTTAAATTCTCCTCGAGCGAAAAGATGACAACTACATGTGACCAGTTTTCTAACTTCAAATGTGAGATCACGTGAGCCAGTGGTGGTATTTGCAATGTTGTCAAGTTTACTGTTTCTAAGATGTCATATTCCTCCTTGGCCCTGGCCCTACCAGCCCTTTCTTGAATACGCATTTTCACATTTTTCTAGAGGCTGTTCTGAAAAACAAGACCGTTTCCAAGAAAAAAGTTGTGTTGCCATATTTCAAAACCCACGTCAAATGGCGGTTTTGGCATTTAGGAATTTTAGTAATGTTGTGACGCTGAATTAATTACAATAAAAATACAGAGGGACTTTTATTCAAAAAAAATAACTTACATACGGCATCATAAAAAGGATAAACTTGGCAACATTGCAAATGTCACCATTGGATTTGGCATTCTCAAAAACCCCCAGTGTATTTCGAATAATAGACTACCACGTTTATACTTGCCGTTAAACCGTTTTGTTTTAACAGAAAACGTTTTACTATAAAACGCTTGAATAAACACCCCATAAACCGTTTTATCTCCTTAAACCGTTTTGATTTAGTAAAACGTTTTAACAACGCGTTTTCACCAATTTGGAAACGGTTTAAATACTGCGTAAACATCTCAAACTGTTTTGGGGAATTTCCCTCATGTATGAAACATTCCATAAGATGAATGCAATTATCGAAAACTTTCAGCGATAATTGCCCGGCAGGTACCGATAAGTGCCTGGCAGGTACCGATAAGTGTCCGGCAGGTACCGATAATTTTGTCGGCAGGTCTAATTTCGGGAAATACTCCCCTAAGAGCCAAATTATGGACCTACTGGTAACGTCTCTGGCAAATTTACCCCGCTGGTAAAACTAAAAATTGAATGCAATTTTTAGCTTTACCAGCAGGATAAAGGTGCCAATAACGTTACTAGTCGGTCCATAATTTGGCCCTAAATAGAATTAGTGTTTCAAAATTACCAGACAATTTTGCGTGTTTTCTTGAATAACTGCATTCGTTAATTTTCATATTTTTCTAAAAGAACCCTCCACCTTAGGTGTCGGATTCTTTCGCAAAATATATGAAAATCAACTCATGCAGGTTTTAGAACACGCTTTCATCCATAATTATCGGTAATTTTGAGGCACTTGTGCTATTACCCCCGATAATAATATATATATATTTTTTCTTTCTATCAGGTATTTGAAGATGATGGTCTCCCCGACAAAATCTGCCAGGCCTGTAAATTTCAACTGGAAAAATCGTACAACTTCAGAAAAAAATGTGAACACTCCGACATGAAACTGCGAATCCATTTCAGAGACATCAAACAAGAACTTGGCGATATTCATTCTGATGACTATGAAGCAAACAATCAGGAGTCTCAAAACGATGAGAATATGCACGTTGACACTTTGGCAGAAGACGACTTATCTGAAGCGTCAGGTGGAAATGTCGAGCAAACAAAACAGTTGAGCACAGAAGAAGATATTGTGGGTGTAACCCGAGTGTCCTACATCCAAGGACCAGAAGACGACCAAGAAAACGAAAATGTTCCCAGCGATATAACTCTACCAATAGAAACTGATAATTTAGACAAGGAAGCTTGCACCTTTAAATCTACTGTGGAATTAAAAAATGAACTCAAAGATTCTGATGATAGAATTTATATTATTGAAGAAAATGAAGCTATGGAGGATGCCGATATGGGAGCAATAGCTGATGCAGTTAAGGCTACATTAGCCAATCAACCTGGATTAAATATAAACGGTCAGTTACAGCTAAAAGTAAACTCTTCAAGTGGCAAAAGTACACAGGTTGAAGTGTCCACTGAAGACGGCCATGTGATTATTATGGAAATAATGACCGAAGAGGAGACAAATAAGCCAGATGAGAATAAAATACCAGAGGCGAGACCAGAGGATAAAAATGAAGAGGGTGAATTGAAAGTATTCAAATGTCCAGATTGTCCTAAATCTTTTGCAAGAAGAATTCAACTTAAGAGACATGCCTCAGTTCATATGCAACAAAGAGGTTAGTATTTTTATATGATACTTGTCTAATTTCAAGTGAATTTATTTTATGTACAGGTTTCAGTTGTGGAATTTGTGAAAAGTGGTTCCCCACCCGGTCAGCTCTAGTAAGACACGAACGTATTCACACAGGCGAACGTCCTTTCCAATGCGAAGTATGCTTTAGAAGTTTTACCCAAAAAGAAATTTTGTTCCGTCACTTGATGACACACACAGGCCAAAGACCGTACACGTGCAACAGTTGTCCCAGGGATTTCAATCAAAAAGAGCAACTTCGATTGCACCTCAAAACGCACAGCAACCCTTATCCGCAGGATATGGTACTGCACTATTGCACTTTGTGTCCGAAAGTGTTCTGTCATGCCTCCGGATTGAGCAGGCATTTGGTAACGCATACAGGCAAAGTGTTTAAGTGTACTGAGTGTAATAAGGCTTTTACTGATAAAAGTTCTTTGAGGAGGCATAGTACTCAGTCGGGGCATCAGGCTTGATCATTTTAGATTGTAGAGAAGCTAGTAGCCTATTGTTAGTTGAACCTATCAAATATTTAATAAGCTTTTTTTTGTTGTTGTTGTGAGTGTAGGTAAGAACTTTTTCATTATAAACATTCTAGCATCACTAACAATTATTTATTTGAATGTTTACGAATTTATCTTTCTACAATAAAATATTGAAATTAAAAAATTACCACTGCCTTTTATTACAAATAATCGATTTAGGTGGAAAAGGTCATCCATGTTTTGGGTGAAGCACCATAAGAATTCATAGATCTCTGGAAATTGGAGGAACTCTATAGGGGTCTGGACTTTTTATGGAATCCAGATCTCTTAATGGAGATAGCATGTTTTGTTATACTAACTTCGCCTAAATACTGGTAATGGCGATTTAGAAAAGTTCTTTGCTATAATAATTCAATGATTCATTTCTTTCTGTGGTAACTTTGGATGAACATGTGGCAAATTTTCAACTACAAGGTCTGCAAAATTTTCCATGTGAAGGAAAAGCAGCTGCTGTTTGATGTTACAGGTTTCTTGATTGATTTTTGAGTTTATGCTCTACATTACTCTTGGAGGAATCCCTAAACTCATAAGTTTGAAAACGCTTATAACATAGATGGCCTACGAAGATAGGTATAGGAATAAAAAAACTCAAAAACAGCATCAAATATAACTTCCATAAATGAAGATTGACACTGTCAAACTTATAAATTCTATGCTTATAAAAAGTCATCACAACGGAACAGAAATGACACAAAACATATCTATTGTAGGTATTCAATTAGTTTTAAATAAAATGTTAAACATAGATACACGCAACCTACTTGCTTTCCCGATAAACCACGTGGAAATCGTTCAACCATACCAAAACCGTTTCTCCCCAAATATCGATTCAATTTTCAGTCTAGTTTCAGTAGGGGTTTAATGAGAACGTGACACATATTTTTCTATCAAAATATTTAATTTTCAAGCAATTTTAGGTTTTAATTTAGTTTGTTTTTTATGTCCAGCTTTAAGGTAAGTATGGGAAACCATAATTTGAAATTGTATTGTTTATTACATTGTTTGTATTGTCGATATACTTGCTTGGGTATTTTAATGTTCATCTTATTAAATTAATTGGGTTAGTTGATAAGTTTGATAAAAGTTCCCAATAGAATCATACAAAGTTTTATTGATTCTTAAAATTAAATTATTAATTATTTACTAGAGCCAGTTATAAATTAATAATATTTCACTATACCTATTAACGGAGTAGGTATATGAGGTATGAGATACAGCAATATATTGATCCAATGATAGTCTATTATTTAAAATAGTTAAATCCTTTTATTTAGGATCTAACTGGTATGTATTAATTTTCATATTTACGGATAGCTTTACCAAAGTCTGAGATATATACATAAAGTATTATATTAATGTACCCATCGATAGTTGGACAGAAAATTATTAAATTATATAACTCACTTACTCCGACTTTGGTAGAGCTATGCAGACTCATCTCCTAACTTTTTTAGAATGCCCCTAAAAGAATATCAACTACTAAAGAAAAACAAACGTCTTCGAAGAAAAAGATTATTGAAGATGAAGAGGCTCGCAAAAAATCCAAGGAAGAGAAAATATCGAAAGAAGATAAGGAATCAACTAGTAAACCAAAGATAGCTTCAACCAGAAAGAATGATGAAAAACCAATACGATCAACCACGACAATGGCATCTAAAAATAAAACTTCTAATTTAGGCAAATCAAAAACATCATCATCAACCGCAACTACAAGCAACAGTAGAGTAAAAACTACGCAATATTTCCCAAGCAAAAATTTATTTTCAAACGCACTTAAATCAGTAGAAAAAGCAAAAACAATTCCCAAAAATACCACTACAAAATCAACAACTCCTCGAATTATTAAAGTTGAAAAACCAACCCCTCGAGTAGCATCGTTGAAAAAAATTACATCCTCAACAAATAATAGTCCAAAACTAGATAAAAAAATCATCAAATCCAATAGAGATTCTTCACCAGAAACAAATTCAAAGTTAGAAAGACCTAGAACTGCTACGTTAAGTAAAGGCATTATTGTGAATGAAAATATTGTAGGACCAGAAGCACCAAAAGTAATCAAAAGTGAAATTAGAGAAACTGAAAATCAAGAAGATGAAAAAAATTCCTATGAAGATGACTTTGAATCCTATGAATCAGATTTTGAAGCAGCCAGTTCTAGTGACAATATTCCATCTGGATCCACTAGTAGTTCAACTAGTACAAGTGAAGATAATATTATGGAAACTTCTACGATAAAAGATAATAAATCGAGACTTTCTTCGGCAGGTACCGAGGGAGAACGTAAATTAGATTCAGGAACATTCGAACTATCAGATTTCAAACACAGACAAATAATGAGGTACATCGAAGACACTGTAAAAAAAGAAGATGCCATCATAGAACACGAAGCCAAATGCAGTCATCATTCATTATCAGACGAAGGCTTCGAGGATCAAAAATCTTTACAATTTATAAACTTTGCGGCTGCAAAAAAAGTTTGCGAAAAGCGCAAAGCCAGTGCAGCAAGAAGGAAAAGAGGCGAAGAGTTGTTGAGCATGATAAAGCTTGACTCGATAAATTTTACGATATTTGATTCGCCCTCGGTGCCTTATGAAGATTTCATTACGAATTATGGTAAAGGAAATATGGTGCAAGTATCTTCGCAAACTGGCGAGGATGCTATCGATGAGGAAATTCAAACAGAACCAATCAAATCAATTGATAAATGGACTCAAATGCCTAATGAATTTTCTACATTTGATTTTGGTAGTGATGAAGCTGAATTTTGGAAACAATATAAATGTGAATATAAAGGTGTTGGTGGTGGTAACGAGGATGTTGCCAAGGATTATAATGAAAATCGTTTAGTTGAATTTCTGAAGCGCTGTGAAGATCTAATATTGCGTATTTTTTCAGAAGAAATTTTGAGCAATATAAACAATTTACAACAAAACAAACAGAATTTGCCTTTTAGCAATGGCTATTTGGAGTTTAATACTGTTGATTACACTAAAGTGAGAAATATCACAATACATCCCAAGAATATTAGAAAAGTTTTAACAGTGCATTTAAGTAATGAAACTGACACTATAAAATCCATAGTTTGTATTTGGGATATTGATGATTTGGATAGTCCTAGAACTATTTTGGGTTCGTTTGGGGAAGTAAGCTGTGCCGCTTTTTTGTTGAATGATGATAAATATGTTTGTGGAGGGCAAGATGATGGGTGTGTATATTTGAAGTTTTTTTCAAATTAGAGCTGATATCTGAAAATTTTAGGGCTGTTCTGGTTTGGGACGTTAAAAAAAACTACAAGCAATACAGCATTTTAAATAGGACTCCTGTGTTTATTACCCCACTCGGATCTGGGCATGTTTCAAAAGTAACTTGCGTGCAACCAATTCAAGATGATCAAGATAATGAAGTAAGTACATAATTATTATAATACTCCATAAATAATGATTAATGTTTCAGATTTGCACACTAGATGAATCAGGAGTAATAATAATATGGACTTTATACTCTAACGCTGACTCGCTAGTACTAATAAATAATCAGATCATAGATCTACAAAATCAATACCCTCACCTACCGGATATTTTATGCAACGATTGTATCATCATGAACAATCACATTTACATATCGAGCAGTTATGGATTTATTTTTCATCATCTGATTAGAAGTAACCAGAATTCAATCAAGATGTTTATTCCTGGTATGAAAAAGAGTGAATGTTAGAAGTAGAATTTCACTGATCCATTTTTTTTTCTCCAGAATCTAACATTGATGCAATCTGCCTAGAAAAGTGCCCATTCTCGTCATCCCATTTCATGGCGGGATACTCGAACGGTGATATTTCCTTATTCTCCAACCTTACCGAGCGACCTTTATTGGTTCTACAAAACAAAGAACAAATTGATAGCTCTGGCGTTCAGCTAATTCAATGGTCGCAAACCAATCCGTTTAAATTTTACGCTAAAGATTCCAAAAACACTATCCACATTTGGGATTTGAGCAAAAGCGACATGTATCCGGAATATTCGATAGAGTTTCCGGAGACGATTTGCTCTATGAAGTTGTCACCTGCTGTGAATATCGAAAGGAAGGAATTAGCTTATATGGTAAGGATGTAGTTGCATTTTGATTGTTTCCAAAATTGATATGACTCATTTTCATATAGGAAAGAAGCAGAATGGTGTCTCAATTATAGCTCAGTTTCTGTTCAAATTTTTCATTTGACTTAATAATGATGTTATTTATAGGTACCTATATCTGAGCCCAAAATTCTTTTTTTGAAAGAAGCACGTGATGAGTAGGCAATTTTTGGTAATTATTTTTCCTTTTTATTTCAGTTAATCGGCACAGATCATGGTAAAATATATTTGCATTTGCTACGAGACGACTATGATGGCCAAGAATCTGATTTGTATAAAAAACAAGTCAAAATATTTTTAAATTATGTTAATCGTTTGTAGGTAATAATAGGGTTTTTACAATAAAATTATGTTGAATTACTTAAATAATTTCTATTTTATTTAACTCTCTATATTTCCATCATACAGTGAAAAAAAAAATGTTCATCAATTATTTTGAATTGAATGGCGATTGAATGAAATATTTCATCAATCCAATACACTGTATAGACTATCATGACTTCGTTTTTTAATTTAATGAATTCATGCTCATTATCATCAATTTTTTTTGGGTCCCTCACATTAGGGATATAGGTACCTCGGTTGCTATTGGAGCTAGAAGGATGCGGTTTTCTCGAACGTTGGCTACTTTTTCGTCAAACGAAAGATGCCGTCAACAAAATTGTCATCGCCCTTTTTGTTTTCCAGATACAAAATACAAGGTGTCGCATTTTGAGAAACCCCTATATACAGTGAGTTCATAAAGTCCCGCGCATAAATTAATAATTTTGAAAACAGTATGTACAAATTTTGAAAAATCGCTAGGGCACGTCAATTTTGTTTTTTTTTGTTTGAAATTTTTCGATTTATTTTTTATCATGTCGTGTCTCAAAAATAGCTTCGCTGGTATCCTTATCTTTAACTGTTTCGGAAATATTGACAGTTGAAAATTGACTTTTTTGCATCTTTGACAGACTGTGGAACCTGAACGGTTGATTTTATACAACATAAAACCGATCATACATTTTTATTTTAGTCTTCCATAAACTATATCATTTAACACCCATCTTTAAAGTTAATACGTGATTAAAAATTCCGAATAAATTTAATCTCCGGTTAATTTCAAAGTTGGTGTCAAATAACAGTTGAAGATAGGTAGGTATATGACATTATACATGAAACATGCCTAGAATTTTCCGTAGAATCCAGAAATGTCATAATATACAGGGGGTACCATTTAAAAAAAATAAAGTTGATACCAGTTGAGACACCCTGTATGATATAAAATATATCGAAAAATTTCAAACAAGAAAGATTGACGTGTCTAAGCGATTTTTCAAAAATTCTACCGTTTTCAAAATAATAAATTTATACAAGACTTTAGAACTCACTAGCTCTCTCATCAGTGATCGAAAAGGTGACAACACCGGGTTCTTATAGGAAGATCTTTCTGCGTTAATTCCAGTTGCTCAGTTTTCTCTAGTTCCCTCAGAGATCGCACATTAGACCGATTCTGTTTCCTCTTCTCAAAAGTGACGTCACCGAATGCTTCAAAACCGCTTCTGCTTATTATAGGCTGACGAGTTGAACTTTTTCGCAGTTGTGGAGGTGCACTCTAACTCTCTCTGGTCGCATTTGGACTGGTTGGTGGCTTGGTGCAACTAAAATCTCAAACTCAATGTTACTAAGTGGAAATTCCCGATTTTTCACAAGACCATAAATCCTATAGATACTGCCTGCCTACATACACCCCTAACAACACCAATCTGGAAACAGTTGACACCTTTGGAGACCAAGGAGACCAAGTCCATTATCTCTCATTCGATATTCGATCCACACTTGAATACTGCAGCCCAATTTGGACTCCACGTTACGTATACCACATGAGAAGGATAGAAGGAGTGCACAATAAATTTGCCAAATACCTGCTCTACAAGCTGACATTTCCTTACCAGAACCTTGGATATGAGACTCGTCTACAGCTTTGCACATACATAGAGCAGCAACAGCAAATTTTCAGTACACAATTGCAGAAATGAAAAAATTATATTGAAACAAACGGAATACAGATAGAAGCTCTAAAAATGTTGGGAGAAGATATAGTAGTCCGAGAGCCAGCGCCAAAAAAGTGCAAGAGTTTCATGAAAGCTGAAAATGTAATATAGGCTTGTATTTGTGATGCATATAACTATACTCGAGTCAGCAAGTGAGGTAGCGGGACAAGCTACGCCCACGCACCTTTGAATGTGTAAAAAAATAATCGCGATGAAAGAGTTTCATGACAGCTGAAAATCTCTCAATCGATTGTTTATTTGATAAAAAACATGACGCACATGGTCAGATAGCATTATGTTAGGACAACTAGAGTCAGCATGCCTATACTCTTGCACTTTTTTGGCGCTGGCTCTCCGACTATAGTGCTCTCCGACTTATCAAATTTCCTCATTTCCTCATCTGTATATAGGTACAAGACCGGAGTAGTCTCTAAAGATTGGCTCAAGTCAACTTTCGTAGCTATTCCTAGGAAGGCTTATTGCAAGTATTGAAAATATTACAGAACGATCAGTTCAATGAGCCATGTATTAGAGTTGTTTCTGAAAATGGTTCACTCCAGAATATAACTACGTCAAATGCGAAGAAAACACTTGTAAGTCTCAAATTGGTTTTAGAAACAGTTTCGATACAAGGCATGCGCTGTTCAGCATTCAGGTTCTCATCATACAACGATGGCGAGATGTAAACGTTGATGTATAGGGGAGAGTGGGGCAGCTTCGACATGTTAAGGTTTACAAGATTTTAAAAACGATTTGTATTTACAGAAATAAACACAACTTTATCTAAACATAGTGATTTCTTTAGTAGGTAATAGGCATTTAAAAGCAATATCGTATAAATTCAAAGAGAAAAATATTTTTTTTTGCATCAATGTCAAATGACGAACTTGCACTCCCCTAGGGGGCAAATTCGACAGCATTATTCTGATACAAATACCTAAATTTTATTTTCTACCTAAATCACAGCAAAAATTAATTGCTCTTCTTCGTATACATCAGATCGTTTTTTTTATAATCTCCTAGAAACAAAAATGATAGTTCGACATTGCCGGAATAACGATTGGCGAAGTTGCCTCACCCAAGCGGATTTTGGTAAAATATTTAAAAACATCTTACAGGAGCCATTTTTACCGCCTATTAGGGTGAAAGTACCTGTTGTCGGCCACTTAAGGCAAATTCTGGAATAAAATGGCGATTGAAAATTAGTGGATAGAGCGAATCGAATTTAAATAATGTTTTATGATACCTTATAGTATATAAAATTGATTCCTTTTTTTTTATTTTCTTCCATCATTGTTTGCACTTTTTTTTGGTATTTTGTTTCTCTAGTCCTCTTGGTTATTTTTTTGTACTTCAAGTTTTTTTTTTTTTTTTTTTCTCATTCCTTTCTTCCATAATATGATCTCCATGCCTTCAATGAGATGGCACTTGGTAAATTCTCTTTTTTTTGTATTCTTGGCTCTAATTTGATAGGTTCCGGAAATTGGGGGTGGCGACTGAAAGGACTTACAGCAACGGCAATATTTGGCAGTTTAATGGAAGTTTTTTCGAGCCTCCAGTCCTATGTCTGTTGTTTTATCAGGTTTCTCAGTTCCAGGAAAATCACTTTGATCTTTAGGAGATTTTTCCATTGCTTCTTCAATTTCTATTTCATAAATACTTTTATCAGATTTATTCTCTGTACACTTGTAACACTTTTTTATTAAAATGAAAGCAGAAAGCACTACCCCATACCCCATACCCATATAAGTAATAGTCCAGGAGGTGGCGCCAAAAACATGCAAGAGTTTTCGCAAGGCGGATATTTTCAAAATAGGTCGTACTTTAGTGCTAGAATGCTAGTGTACAGTCAGCACTCACAGTTCCGGGACAGCTGGCTCTGGGACGCGGGCAAAGTTGTAATTTTAAGAAGCATCTAAACTGTTTTCTCAAAGCTCAAAATTTATAGAAATTTTGCACATTATCTGTTTGAAGGTCACAGATAACGTATGTATGTAAATCGTCAGACGTCTAGTTCGTTGCAAAAAGGGGGTCAGACGTCCTCAAAGTTTTTATTTTATGGCATTTTCTTCAAATATATTTGTCAAATACCTGCAAAAATATATTTTGACAAGACACCGAAGAAAATGCCATAAAATAAAAACTTTGAGGACGTCTGACCCCCTTTTTGCAACGAACTAGACGTCTGTCGATTTACATACATTATCTGTGACCTTCAAACATATAATGTGCAAAATTTCTATAAATTTTGCGCTTTGAGAAAACAGTTTAGATGCTTCTTAAAATTACAACTTTGCCCGCGTCCCAGAGCCAACTGTCCCGGAACTGTGAGTGCTGACTGTACACTAGCATTCTAGCACTAAAGTACGATCTATTTTGAAAATATCCGCCTTGCGAAAACTCTTGCATGTTTTTGACGCCAGCTCCCCAACTATAATGTCAAATGTCCGAGAACTTTACACCTACCTTTTCTCGGACACCTTTTCAGGTATACTACAATTTCACGCCTTTGTGGTTTATAGTGTGAGCAAACTGGTCCATAGAATCTCGATACAGTCTTCTAATGTATCTAATAAGGAAAATTAAGTTGAAAATCAAATAGGCTAGAAAAAAAAAACATATAGTTTCAACGTGCCGGACCCATTGTCGGACAGAGTGGCCGAGAAGAGGAATCTGCCGATTTATAGGACCGGTTATCCGGACATTTAATAAAATTAACAAAATAATAATATTCATTTAATTTTTATGGTTATAATCGTAGATTAACATGTTTATAACTTAAAAACATCAACAAAATATCGAAAAATGGAGTAGGAACATTTTTACTTACTATTTCCTTCTTAGCTTCACACTAGCAAACTTTTTCACTTGATCAAAAGGGCTGTGTTGAGAAAAACAGCAGATAGGTATATTATTATTTTTCTTAATTTGGTCTAGGCCTAGGCCCGTAAAGAGGGCGGTATTGCAGAAACTGGTGGGGAAATAGTGTTTGAAAGTAGGTATTACTCTAAAAAGAGGTTTGATATAATATTTTCCTATTTTTTGTATATTTTGTCATAAAGTGTCCGACAACAGGGGGTGGCCGGCTAACAGGTACTTTCACCCTATCAAATATTTCTACAAAATATGGGTCAAAGTCACTCTGTAAAAATTAACTTGCGAAATAGAAAACTCTAACGGAACGAAAGTATTATTAAAGTAATAGCCAATCCTTAGATCAGAAATTTAAAAACTCGATAATTGCGTTTTATGCGACAAATTGAGTAGCTACCTTCTCCAGACTTAAGGAGCAACTGACTGATACGTACGATGCACCCTCAAGCCAGTTTCGGAATTTCCGAATTCAACCGATTCCTAGGAAAGCGCGGTGACAAACTTGACTCGCATGTCGAAGTTGCCCCACTCTCCCCTACGCCTGCTTCCTAAATCCTAGATTACGACAAGGCATTAGGCATTCAACACTGTTTTATATATTTCCCTAACTATACTCAACTTACAATTTTTCTTATATTCACTAAATTATTCCAATAAAATAACTCTCTTGATCACTTAGAGCACCTACATAATGTAGGTTAACCGTTTTGAGACCTAAATTCCGCTCCCACTATTTCTAAGAAATATAATTACTTTGTATTTGTTCGACCGAAGATGTCGCAATTTTCTCGATTAGGGCCGGGACAGACCTATCAATAATTATCATGCATCATTCCGTTCTGACTCCTATCGTACAATCGGAGGAGCGATGTGTGTCCCGGCCTTCATACACCCCTCCGATCCGACTTCGGTCCGATATTGCCGCAAGAATCGGATCGGAAAGGAGTGAGCACACTATGTCATACTCCACTCGTTTCCGCTTTCTTTCCGATTTCCGGCTCCGGTTTGCACTCGTCATTCTTGATTCAAACAATATCGCTAAAGTTTCTGTTAGCAAAATGTTCAAAAAAATTTAAGCAGCTGCGATTAAGCCATGGTGGCACTTTGTTTAACCTTCGTCTTCCCACGTTAAAAAAAATTACGTAGATTCCCACGTGGGGTACATTCGCACCCCATGATAAAAATGATATTTCTGATAATTAGACATGATTTTATTTTTACTAAACAGTTATAATAGATAAAATCAACCTATAGAGTACAGTTAGAGAATGGTATTTTCGACCAATGCGTGCCATCTTTCGATTTATAAATCATTTGTCCACCTTCTATATACTTCCCGTAAACTTTCGTTCTCTTTCTGCTCCACATACCTACTTCTTGATAAGCTTTATTCTATATATCTAAATTTTGCAGGTTCGAAATCTATTTCTAACCTGCAAATTTCCTGCAAGGTGACTACCTGATAGAGTAGCCACAGATTCCCACGTGGGGACGTCATTGGGAACATGTGCCCCATGCTATGCAAAAATTATTATTTCTAAAAAATAAATAAATAGAAAAATTTTATGTTCACTAGTTATGTGCAAAGCCCTTACTGACACAAAATAAAATTAGTCACAAAAAATATGCACTTTTTGGGAAAATATGTTAGAAAAATTGTTTTTTCTCCAAACGTCAGAAAAACGTCACTTTGTTAACCCCTGTCAAGATGTCAGAAATTTGATTTCTATGCTGCTAGGCAAATTCAGCGTGTTGCATACGGAGTAGAAGCACTTTTTTGTGCTTCAGCAGTATTGCAAGCCTCACTACGTTCGGCTCGCAAACCTACCGCTTCAGCACAAAAAAGTAAAGCTTCTACTCCTAATACAACAATATACTACGTCACGTTGTTAACCCCTGTCAAGATGTCAGAAATTTAATTTCTATGCTGGTAGGCAAATCCAGCAGGTTAACACCTGTCGAGGTGGTAGAAATTTAATTTCTATGCTGCTTGGCAACCCCAGCGGCAGCAAAAGCACTTTTAGTGCCGCTCGTACTTTTACTGCCGCTCAACCATGCAGTTACCCCCGAGCTTACCCCATTCGTTTGGAGAAAAAATAGTGTGTTGCATACGGAGTAGAAGCACTTTTTTGTGCTTCAGCAGTATTGCAAGCCTCACTACGTTCGGCTCGCAAACCTACTGCTTCAGCCAGAGCTGGGCAAAGCCCTCAGTAAAAGGGCTTGAAGCACTAAGCCCTAAGCCCTCTATCAAAGTGCTTCAATTTCAAGCAAAAATTCCTTTTTATTTTCAATAGTGCTTCACAAGCACAAAGCCCTCAAAGTGCTTTGGGCTTGACAAGCACAAAGCCCTCAAAGTGATTTGAAAAGTGCTTGAAGCACATCAAAAGAGCTTGGGGTGCCTTGAAAAGGGCTTCAAGCTCTTTAACTGTGCTTCAAGCTCTTTAAATGTGCTTCAAGCTCTTTAAATGTGCTTGAAGCTCTTTAAATGTGCCTAAAGCACTTTGAATTTGTAATAAAATTCTCAAAGTGGCATAAGTTACCGCGTACACTCATCACACAGAATTGGTATAGTAAAGACGAACTTCACATTCCACAACGTAGCAGTAGTATGTTTTTTTTTTGAGATGTAGTTCTGGGGTACTTGGGGTAGTTGGGGTACTACATGGTAATTAAATTTTAAGGTTTTCAAAATGTTCAATGGGGAAAAGTGAAAAAAATCCAGTGATAAAGTTAAATAGGGTACCTATAAATTATTTATTTATTTGAATAATAAGTTCATTCATTTTTTTTTTTTTAATTCCATTCTAAGCTCAAAACCTTCATTGTTAAGAGAGAAAAGACATAAGACGGTTCAAGTTCAAATAATAGAAAAAAAAATTAAGGGACAAAACACGATCGAAAATGTTTAAGTGGGGGATAGGTTGAATGATGGTCAATTCAAATTCCTTTCAAAGTGCTTCAAGCCCTTTTAAAGTGCTTCAAGCCCTTTTAAAGTGCTTCAAGCCCTTTTAAAGTGCTTCAAGCCCTTTCAAAGTGCTTCAAGCTCCCAAAAGTGCTTCAAGCCCTCTTAAAGTGCTTCAAGCCCTTTCAAAGGGCTTCAAGCTCCCAAAAGTGCTTCATGCCCTCTAAAAGTAATTGAAGCTCATTGAAAGGGCTTGAATTACTTTTTTAAATTACAAATTACCAAGCACTTTTCTAAAGTAATTGACTTTGCAAGCCCCAATTACAAATCTATAAAAGGGCTTGAAGCACAGGGCTTTCAAGTCCTCAAAGTGCTTCAAGCACTTTCGCAAGCACAAAGCACTCAAGCCCTGCCCAGCTCTGGCTTCAGCACAAAAAAGTAAAGCTTCTACTCCTAATACAACAATATACTATTATGGAGAACAGCGGGAAACGCAGATATTTGCTTTTACAGTTTCCGGCCTTCTCGTTGGCATGTCAAGACTGGCAAATTCATCAATTATTTAATATTTTAAATTGAACTTAGAAAACTTTTCAATATTTTAAGAATACTTTGTTTTTGATGTCCTAGCTTGAATTTCCTTGGGAAAAAAGCATTTTAAACCGACCTACTCTTCGCATAAAATTACTATTCAGCAGGAAACAAACAAATACACAAATTTTGGAACCGAGTCGTAAATTTCAGAAAAAAAAAGAACACTTTTGTGTCACCAGAAAATGTATGGATATGAAAATAAACGACGCCCACGGACGCTTTAGCGAAGTGGACGGCGGGCGTCCTTCTCTCAGTGAGTGGATGAATGTATTCTAGCGATCGTGCGAAAAGCGGCGTCGAATCTACAGGTAAAGACATTTTTGAAAAAAATAAAAAAATGCTAATAGTTTTAGAAAAAAAGTAAGTAGTTTTTTGTGTATTTTTTTTTGTGTCAATTTTTTTCTACTCTCTCCTTGGTATTAGAACTCCAGCACTCAATTTTGAGGAACCAGGATGCATTTCTTATAACTAAAGGAAAATGAAGAGTTTTGGATTGTGGCCCCTTTTGCCAATTTCCACAAACTTTTAATGTTAATTTTGACTTTGATTTGCCCTGAACCTAATCTCAGAGGTGTTTCTCATTACAGTCGGGCGATTTTAATCTGATACTCCAAAGGAATATGTGAGCTGGTGGCTCCCTAGGTTAAAATGCCAATGGTTATCTGACGTCACACCTGTTTTTGCCATATGGTTCACCCCCTCGCTCCTCATTCGGAAAGTGTCAGATTAAAAACGACGTACAATAACCAAGATGTTTACCAAGCCAATTTTAGCACATCCAAGTTATTTTTTTTTTTGATTTCCTATAAGCCTGTAATTTAAAATTGGAAAAATATAATTTCTTTTCTGTTAAAATCACAGCTTTTAATAATAATAATTCTTGCCAACTTAATCACCTCTGCCGTGTGATAAGTTCTGGTCCCAAAAAAAAAATTTTTGGCTACTGTTAAACATCTTAATTGAAGTAACTTGTTTAGTCTATTGCACATCTGTTCAAGCTTATAATTTCAGTATGTATTTATGACTAAAATTTCATTTTCTAATATGAACAATTATTATTGTACTTGGAACATTTAGTGCTGCTTTCCATTTTTTTTTGCTCTGACGCAGGACACTTAATTATATGACATTTACATCATCAGAGATATAAATCCTCTATTTTTAAATTTGAAAAAATTTGGAAAATATTATTTGATTCCAGAATTTGAAGCCCACCATTCTAATATAAATCAAAGCACACGTATTTAATTTTGTTGGCAAACGATTGAAAATTTTGTTTAAAATGTTTCAAATAGTAATTGTTTCCAGCTAACTTTCATTAAATTTTACTTGAAAGTTTACAAAACAGAAACAACAAAGCACATTGGCATTGTTTCAACAATTGCAATTTTAATGTTAAAATCACGTTAAAATTATGTATTTAAAACTGGACCATTTTTAAAACTCTCTTTTTTTTTAAGTGTGTAATTCAAATTTTTTTGCTGCATAATTAGTGAAAACTAATTATTCAAAATGTGTGTTTTTTTAAAAGATAACAGCTGTAAATATTTCGCATTCTCTACAGTCATCATTGAAAATGTTTGGCACTGATTTGCTAGGTACCTACCTACCCACCTACCTACAAACTAAGATTGCTAAAACTATTCGGAGCACCTGAACTCAAAAATTAAATAATGTTTACGTGCGTGCGCGACAAAAATAAATCAAATAACATCTCTCAGGACCACCTACTTTATCATTATGATACTGAAATAGATTCATGTGAATACCTCTATTTTAATATTTCATAATGAAATTCGATTAAATAGTTCCTTCAGAAATTTCAAAGGAAAATTAGATGACTTCGGAAGCTATTTGGAATATTCCAAAAGCCCATTTTGAAGCTGAATTGAAAAATTTAACTTTAATTAGAAAAGTTCATCTTTTTTAAAGTTCTATAGCTGCTTCTGAATTCTCAAAACATAATTTTGAGAAGCAAAAATTAAAAAAAAAAAAAACAATACTTCAAATGTAGATAGTCGAGTTAAGCTTAGACATTCTGGAGTCATTGCTCTGGAGTATTCGAAAAACTTCAAAAGCTGTTTTGATCACTATTGCAAAACCCAATTTCGAGACTATTTGAGAAATTTAGAAGGTACTTTATGAGCTGAGATTTGGGAAAGCTTTTCTAAATTCTTTAACAACATGTTAAGCTTTAGAAATGCAAATCAACTCGATCTTGAATACTAGGTATATATCACTATGCAGGACAATTAAAAAGCTGAGTTGGATAAATTATTGCAGAAGCACATGTTGAAGCTTGTTTGAAAAGTTTGATGTGTGTTTTTTCAGTCAGCTTCGGAATTCTTCTTGACGCACTTCCAATTGACGCAAATCAAATTTTTTTTTGGAAAAGTTTCTGTTCAAACTTGACCCGAGTTTGATTTTTGCTCTCAGAACTCTATAATCACTGAGACATCTTTAAAGATGTATCTACTTTTACAAACCATCTGATGATATTCAGGTCCAATTCTGTTGGGTGAATTCTTGAAGACACTGTTAACAGATTTTATTGTTATAAGAGATTCATAGAGCCTCTCAAAGTCAAAGTAAAACTTTTAAGTACGAATAAAATGGAAGAAAAACAGAGCCACTACTGAATAGAAATGTGGATTTGTGAGAAAAAAATCAGTTCTAGTGGGATTGTTGTCACTCATTCATAGATTAAATGATCAAAACATAACTGATATTCTTGAAGTCCTCTCAAAGTCGATTTTTTCTAGCAAATACAGCAAAGTAGCAAAGAAATATGAAAACATTATTCCTTACTTGGTGCCTAGTACATGCTTGGAGTGCTTGTATAGGCAAGTGGTACTATATCGAATAAAATATCTTATTTTTTTTTCCAGATAGTGTAGACTAATCGAAATAGAAATAGAAAAATGACGACCCAACCAAGACTGGTGAACAAACAGTTCAACTCGCCCATCGGTCTCTATTCTGAGCAGAACTATCGAGAAGTGTTAGAACGAGAACAGCAGATGTTGGCAAATGGCGCTATAGGGTAAGATATTGGATGAGATTCTATTCTTTAGTAATAGGTACCAGAAAAAAACTTCTTTTAGTTCATACATACGTCTTGCATTATTATCAGGAACCAAGATAATGAAACTGAAATACCGTAGTGTCGGTATACTTTGCCATCCAAGGTGACTTTGCCAGAGTTGACTTTTTTTTTTTTGTAACAATATTTTCCAATGGCAGAAACCTTGCGGAAGTTGTAGGAACTATTAAAGAAAACGTGGTTAACTTGTTGCAAATAGTCAGACTTGCGATTGCTGCGCTATGGTGCTAGTGAACACGTGCTGCATATAAGCTAAGAATTTTACGATTTTCAATTCCTAAAATATTAAGACTTGTGACACCTTTATGAATACGATTAACCCAAAATAAATCCTTTTGCCAAAATATACACTTCAATGGCTAATGATTGTGAAATTTTGAAGTATTAAAAAATAATGATTTTTGAGATTTTAAATTATTTTAAAAAAAGTGTGACCTTGCAAGCCACTCGTATGTGTCTTTGCCTTATATATTTCTTACCGTTTTTGGTTTTTGAGATCAAAATATGGGTCGAATCTACAAAAAAAAAAATAGGCTGCCAGCACTACAAAAACTCTATGCTATAATGAAGATACTGTAAAAGAAGCAGTGCGAAATATTTTAAGCAATGACTTAAGTTATTTTGATATTTTGATATTAAATCGTATTTTTTTTGTTTCCAACAATGAAAAAAAAAATGGTACCTACCTACCTTTTTTAAAATCATATTTGAAGGCAAACTAACCCATATAATAGTCTTACATTTAGATTTAGGTGGTTTTAAACGCGTTGGCAAAGTGTCACCAATTTATAGGAGACTTTGCCAGATTTTTAACAAAAAATAAATAAATAGAAGCAGTGCTTTCTAATTGTTTGTGTTTACAGGGATCTATAGCCAGAACATGGAATTTATACATAGTCTGTAGCCATACAAATTGCTATATCGGTTAAAAAAATATCAGAGAAAAGGTCTGAAAACCGCGGCAAAGTATACCGACACTACGGTACCTACTTATATTTTGTGAAATATTGAAAATAATATGGAACAAAACACTATAAAGACTAACCCAAATCTTCTTCTTGTTCTTTGGCTTGTAACATCGATTTCTAGAACAACTTCTATGTTCAGAGCAACGTGTCTGTCAACTTTCCTGTAAAGATCACTTTGGTACCATTCCTATATTTTTATTTAAAGTTTTTGGCCTCATTCAACAATAGTTTGTCGACTATTTATCATAAATATAGGTAGGAATACGGAATAAACATTGGTCAAAAATTTTGTTTCTCAGGCCAAGTGGAATCTTTTGGTTGTTCAGGATCCTTGAAAACTTGCCAAAACCTGGCTATGCCAGCTTTGTTATCTTCGTACTTATTCCACTGTTTGGTCGATTTTATCAAATTTCCTCTCCAAGGTAGATGTATTCGCTGACTTTCTCCAAAGAGAGCTAGTCACTGATGAATCTTAATTCTTCCTTTTTGGTATTTGTCACATCACTTTTGTTTTCTCCTATTTATCTCCATTTTTTTTTGGTTTTTGATTTGTTGTTGTCCATTTCTGCTGTTCTACTGTTCCATCTTCATTTTTCATGCGCAAGATTTTATTGGTATCGAGTCTTGGCTCAATACATTTGAGGCCTTGGCTCTTCTATGTTCTATATGACCTTTTTTATCACTCCTTTTCTCTGTCTTGTTTTAAAGTTTGCATTTATTTTCGTTAATAATTTTATTAATTTCTCTTTAATTCCGTTATATTTTGATTCCCACTGCTTGTTTTTTGCCTCATAAACTCTTTTGATTCGGCGATTATTTTATACTCCTTTCTGTTTTTCTCCTTCGCTAGTTTCTTTCCTACTTTTGAAAGTTTTTTAGCTACTATATTGTCGCGAATATCTGGCAGAAAAGCCAGGCTGTACAGAATTGAACAGCTCATTCTAAAGGATAACGCACACCTAACATGGGATTTTTGGGCTCAATGGATTTTGCCAATTTTTTGATATGTTATACAGAATTTAATTCTGAACAACCTTTAAATGAGACGAAATCTTATAGGTATTACGGTCTTTGAGATATGAGTGTTGAAAGATGAACTTTTTTGCAACTTTTTGTGTGAAAAGTATACGAAAAACTGGTGTTTATGAGTCAAAATTTTGACAGGTCGACATATTTCACGTCACAAACAAATGTCAACATAGGGCCGTGACCGCACTGGCGCCAACATAGACCCCAGTGCGGTCTCGGCCTTAACCTAAGTTGACATTAATTTTTAAGTGACGTAAAATAGGTGAACCTGTCAATATTTTGACAGATAAACACCAGTAGCACCAGTATCTCGTATACTGTCCAAACAAAAAGTTGCAAAAAAGTTCATCTTCAAACGATCATATCTTGAAGACGGTAATACCTACAAGATTTCGTCTCATTTAAAGGTTGTTCAGAACTAAATCCTCTACAACATATCAAAAAATGGACAAAATCCATAGAGCCCAAAAATCCCATGTTAGGTGTGCGTTATCCTTTTACAGGAATGTCAGGAAAAAGGGCTATCGCGTTTATTCTGGATTTTACAAGAATGGATTAAGGATATATAAAGGCCGGTATTAGTAAGTGGTTTCTAGTTATTAGACACTTTAAGCTATTCCTAAATTTTTCTGCGTATCCGTATCCGCATCCGTAAACGCATCGACTTACGTTGACCGCCTAAAAATCCTTTTAAGCATGGCCAAACATACATTACGAAAACGATCGTATTCTAAGATAAAACGTTTTCTAACCTCAAAAAGTATTGGATTAGGTAATCCAAACCACGTGACACTCAAGATGGCGTGGCGGCCACACATGAGCCAAAAGACACAAAAAAATGTCTAGTTTCTGCCGGATTTAATAGTTAAGGTACCTATAGTCAATAAATATTTTATTAAATAATCAAAATCAAAAGTTGCAAGCAAAACTAAGCAAAATAATTTAAAATACGCATAAAAACATATTCAAAACAAACTTGCTTGGCCGCCACGCCATATTGAATTTTCCTTTTTGACAAATGGATTGGATTGCCTAATTGATTTTGTAGCTGTGTTTTTGTACTGGCACAGTACTGGTTTATGTTGTTAAAGTTATTTTAGTGATAGCCAAAGCCCATTTTACAATGGACGTAACGTAATCGTAAAGACGTAATATAAGTCCTAAGCATGCGCACATTAGATTTATTTGCGTCAAATATTTTACTGGAAACCCAATGTAAGAGGAGATGAGAATAATTCAAATTTGGCTTATTCTTGGCTTTTGATTGGATCTGAAAACCAAATTTTGAATATTCCCGGCTCATGATTGGTTTGGAAATTAAATTTTTGATTATTCCCGGCTTTTGATTAGCTTATTTTTGAATTTTCCCAGCTTTTGATTGATTAGATTAGGAATTCAATTTTTAAATTTTCATAGCTCTTGATTGGTTTAAAAAATGATTTTTAAAATTTTCCCAAATCTTAATTGGTTTAAAAATTGAATGGCTTTTAATTGGGTTAAAAAATCGAATTTTTGATCATTCCTGGCTCTTGATTGATTTAGAAATTGAATTTTTGAATATTCCCAACTCACGATTGGTTTGGAAATTGAATTTTTGATTATTCCTGGCTCTTGATTGGCTTCAAATTTTAAATATTCCCGGCCCTTGATTGGCTTAGAAATTCAAATTTCAAATATTCCCAGCTTCTGATTGGCTTCCAAAAACAATTTTTGAATTTTTTTTATTCCTGATTGGTTTTAAAATTCAAATTTTGATTATTCCTGGCTGTTGATTGGTTCTGAAATTCAAATCTGGAAAATGGAGGGTTTCGGATTGTGGCCCCTTTTGCTAATTTTCACAAACTTTTAATGTTAATTTTGACTTTGATTTGTTCTGAAACTAATCCCTGGTGTTGATTGGTTCTGAAATTCAAATTTTGAATATTCCCTACCCATGATTGGTTTAAAAATTGAATTTTTGAATATTCCCGGCTCATGATTGGCTTCGAATTTTGAATATTCGCGGTTCTTGATTGACTTCGAAATTCAAACTTGAATATTCCCGGATCTCGTGATTGGCTCTGAAATTCTTTCTAATTTTTCCGGCTCCTGATTGGGTTTAAAATTCAAATTTTGAATATTTCTGGCTCTTGATTGGCTCTGAAACTTAAATTTTGGATATTCCCGACTCATGACTGGTTTAGAAATTGATTCTTTGATGATTCCCGGCTTTTGATTGGCTTTAAATCTTGAATATTCGCAGCTCTTGATTGGCTTAAAAAATTTAAACTTTGAATATTACCGGCTCTTGAATGGATTCCAAATTCAGTTTTTGAATTTTCTCAGCTCCTGATTGAGTTTAAAATTCAAATTTTGATTATTCCTGACTCTTGATTGGTTTATAAATTCAAATTTTGAATATTCTCGGCTCTTGATTGGCTTAGAAATTTAAATTTCAAATATTCCCAGTTCTTGATTGGCTTCCAAAGTAAATTTTTGAATTTTTCCGGCTCTTGATTGGGTTTAAAATTTGAATTTCATAGCCAATTAAGAGCCGGGATAATTCAAAATTTGAGTTTCTAATTCAATCAAGAGTCGGGAATATTCAAAATTTGAATTTTAGGACCAATCAAGAGCCAGGAATAATCAAAATTTTAATTTTAAACCCAATCAAGAATAGGGAAAATTCAAAAATTGACTTTGGAAGCGAATCAATAGCCAAGAATATTTAAAATTTGAATTTCTTAACCAATCAAGAGCCGGGAATATCCAAAATTTGAAGCCAATCAAGAGCCGGAAATAATCAAAAATTCAGTTTCTAAACCAATCATGAGCCGGGAATGTTTAAAATTTGAATTTTAAACCCAATTAAGAGTTAGGAAAATTCAAAAACTGTTAAAAATTAAAAACTGAATTCCTAAATCAATCAAAAGCCGGGAAAATTCAAAAATAAGCCAATCAAAAACCGAGAATAATCAAAATTCAATACATTTTCATATGATAAGTGTTGCTACATGTTGCTACAAAATCTTACCTTAAAACCCACTACAAGGAACTACCCCCAAAACTACTTGTTGCTACACTTTCGCTCGTGTTGTTACACTTTCGCTCATGTTGCTACACTTTTTCGTTTTAAAAATGTTGCTACATAGGTTCATTGAAATCTTGCTCTAAACCTATAATAAAAACTACTCCCAACGATTGTGTTGCTACACTTTTTATTTCGTATTGCTACATAAGAAATTCAACAAACTATTGTCCTGAGCAAAAACTATTACACAAATGACTTATTCTTACACAAAAACGAGTGTTGCTTTACTTTTACTCGAGACGTGTTGTCACTTTTTTTTTCTTGCTACATATTTTGCTGCTACACAATTCACAAATGAAATGTTGCTACAAGAATAATTAATTGGAATTTTGCCCCAAACCTACTAACAACTTGTTGCTACCACAATTCCAGTGTTGTTACAAAAATATTGCTACACCCGTAACTCCTAAACTACTCGTCCGATTTCGACGATTCTTGCACCAAATTGAAGCTGATCGATTTACCTCCGACTCGGTGAGATCCATGAGGCTGCTTTTAACCTTGGTGAGGTTCTCCGAGGACCGTTTCTCGTCCTCGTCGATACCCTCGTTCTTGTACACCTTGACCTCATCGGTGCTACCGAGATCATCGCCGCCGCCGGACGAGACGTGTGGCATGATTCACTTGACAAAGCGGCACGGCGGCATTTCTTGCGTTTCCGTTTAACGCAAATAAATCTAATGTGCGCATGCTTAGGACTTACGTCTTTACGGTTATACGTTACGTTCATTGTAAGGTCGGGGTTAGCCAATTCCTTAATTCTTAATTTTTGTTCTTAATTCTTAATCATTAAAAATAAATAAATTGAAATTTTTAAGAAATAAGGATTAGGGACAAATCTAAAGAATTAAGGAATTGGGTAACTCCGACCTAAAATGGGCTTAACAAGGAGATCTCTCAATAGTGTCAAATAATTGAGATACGTTTCCGGATACGGACAACGCAACGCAACGAAACCACCGTCTATTCTGCACATGCGCAGATCGACGCGGATACGGATACGTTTGAAATTCAGAACCTGCTGTGTCTATTAGTTATTATCCGGTATTAGTTAGTTTTAAAATTAGGAGATACGTTTTAGATAGCGACTATTGTAAGAGTTGTGAAGAGTTAAGTTGAGTTAAACCGACCCAAGATTTTTGTCTCGCACCCCAGAGCCGTAACATTGGTGTCAGAAGTGAGATATAATTTGAGTATTGCATAGTGAAATCCTATTGCAGAGTAGTCTACACACTAGTGTGGACACTAAGTGAACACTGAGATAATTATTAGTTAGTAAGCAGTGACAATGACAAAAAAAAAGACTGAACCGATTGTGTAAATTACCCCGGAAGTGACTATATACTCGATTTTGACTAGTGAATTTCGAAGTAAGTTCTAGCAAGTTTTGAAAACCAAGGGAGATATCGAATTTGTAACTTCACCGACGTATTTGAAACTTCAATCCAAGACCAGGAAATATATTTCAAGAAAGGGAGAGAGGGAAATTCTAGAACATTGTATATATGCCTATTACAAGACAACCACCTCGACGCATGCCAGTAGCTAAACAACAGGAAGTGGAAAACCAAATTGATATAATTCTTCAAGAGGGAATTATTGAAGAGTCGAATCATGGTCTGCGCCATTAGTATTGGTTACAAAGACAAATGGAAGTCTTAGATTTTGTGTGGACTACCGTAAGCTTAATGACGTCACTAAGAAGGACAGCTCTCCTAGGATAGACAATACATTAACAACTCTATCGGGCTTCAAATGGTTTTCCACGTTGGATCTAAAGAGTGGATACTGGCAAGTGGCAATACACAAAGATGACAAAGAGAAAACTGCCTTCAGTACCGAAAGCAGATCATACCAGTTTAACGTAATGCCTCTCGGATTGTATAATGCTCTAGCTACGTTTGACCGACTGATGCATCTTGTTTTGCGAGGTCTTACATGGAGAACTTGCCTGGTATATTTAGATGATGTCATGATTATGGGAAATTCGTTCCAAGAATATCTCAATAACCTGAAAGAAGTTTTTGACTGCTTCCGGAATACCAACTTAAAACTCAGGCAAAATAAGTGTGTTCTATTTTAAAAAAAATGTGGAATTCTTACGTCACCTGGCATCTGAAGATGGCATACAAGTTAGGGAAAGATAGATGTTGTCAGGGATGGGATGGGCCAAAACCACACGACAAACATGAATTAAGGAGTTTTCTAGGATTATGTTCTTATTATCGAAGATTTGTAGGATTCACCAATATGATAGCTGCTCCGTTTCGACCGTTTCGTCGATTAACGGAAGAGAACTCAATATTCAATTCGACCCCAGAATGCGATTCCGCTTTTAGAAAATTGAAAAGAGCATTATGTACAAGCCCATTGTTGTCCTATCCCGATCAGAAAGGCATGTTGATTTTGGATGCACCCAAAGCCGTGACATTATTATTGATGTTGTTTGTGTCATCTACTATACTGATTTTACTTTCATGCCATGACTTGCGTCGCCTTGTACTTAGATTTCTTCAGTGTTTCCAGTTTCATGCTGTTTTTCAATGAATTTCTTTTAGTTGATCTGAGTCAAATCTTCACCCTTTTGTCAAATAGTTTTTTTCTAGTTTAAACTACACACCAAAAATTACATCACTACCTGTGCTGTGTTGAAGTTGTTAATAACTAAGCTACCTGTTGAATATCCTTTGGGTAGGAATCAAGCGTATTTTTTGGTTTATTTATTGAAATTTTGAAGAACATATTTAACATTTCTCTCACGTCAAGTAATTGTTTATTTTGGCTATTACCCGTCCCATCTTAAACACCTAATTACCAACCTATTAAGCACCTACTCAAAATCGAATAATTCTTGTTTATTATTTTTCGAAATGTGTTTCCAATTTAAACTTTCGAACAAGCAAATGTGAACGAGACATTCTCGGAATTGCATCCTAGTGATACCGTTATCGAAAACTATATGGCAAAACTCGAAGAATCAGTCGACGAAACGAATTATTTCTGACTAAAATTCGAAATTAGATCCGCAGAAAACTATTTTTGAGTGAAACGGTTTTATTTTTAGGAGCAAAAGTAAACGAAAATTCGGCGGCACGCTCAAATTACCATCAGGATTAGGTTTAATAAAAATAATAATGCAATTTGTAAAAAAATCAAAACGTTTAGCTTCAATAGTTAATTTTGGCAACCTACTAAAACGAATGCCAATTTAATTTCTCATTACTTTTTTTTTTGTTTTGATCCCGAAACAATTATTGACAATAATAATTATTTTTGGGACTTGGTGATTCACCTGGCGCATTTCGAAAATAACACGGTGAAAAATCCTAACGGTGAATCATGTGACTGAAAAGCTCACACAAAACTGTTTTGTAGAGGTTCGAGAGTTAATTCATCATTCGACAACGAAAGACCGATAATATATACGATTTTTTTAAATTTTTGTATTGACTGTGATATAGTTTTATAATGGGTCCAGCAGTAGAAAGGTAGTTTTGGTTAATAAAAATCAATTAAAGCCAAATTGTGATTACTTTTTTCTATTTCAGGATTGATTTTAACAATCCTGCAGTAGGTAAGCCGGCCAACTTGCAAAATTCCGCAGTTCTACGCATGTTAGAAGAAGAAGAAAATAGACGTGGTGGACGAACCGGTAAGTTCAATTTATTTATTTACTTACTTAATAATAATTTTTATAAGGGCCCTTATGGTATAGTTGAAATAGTACTACAGTATGTGTTCCAACTTTTCAGCCACAAAACTCAGTATTTTCACTAGACTAAGTAGAGCTTTGATCATATATATAATCTGAGGGGTTACAAGTTGGATCAGATACTTAAGTTAATGTTAGACTTTATTCAAGTACCTAATCTTTGTTAGAGGTTATCATAAACTGAAAAATGTCAGGTAACAGCTTTTTGGGTCATTTTATTAGTTAAATCTACTATTGATGTTCCGGTACTTTTAACACCATAGGTACTACTTGGGAATCTTTGTAGATTCTCCTAAATTTCCTTAAAAAAATTAAACTTTATTAGATTCATGTCCTTATAATAATTATTCATATCTTTTCTATGCTTTTGAATAATTTTTTTCTTAAATATTTTTTATAATTTCCTTTATGAGTTTTTTCTTTATTTTCTTTTTTTGGTTCAACTGCCTAAAATGTTTTTGTTCAAATTCTTCAAGATTTTTAAAATTGAGTCACAGAAGAATATTTTTTTATTCCCGGCTTAAAAACGTAGAAATTTAAAGAAAACTATTAAAAAAATTGAAAAAAATATGAGCCTGGAATAGACAAAAATAATAATTTTCTCATTCCTGGGTAATTGAACCAAATCTCAAGATGGAGTTATAATGTTGGTAAGAATCCACAGTAGCTTTACTTGGTACCTATGTGGTTTGATTGTTTTCTAACTGTGTCTTTGCCCAGTGGCTATTTTACTCTTTAGCCTTCTAATTTTCATCTGGATTTCCTGAATATTGACCTAATTTCTAAAACTTATTGTTAACGAAATTTTCCCGCTGTTTGCTCAACTTCGCCCAGACACCATCATGCAAAATCTTAAAGACGTCTTTTCGCAGATGTCTGAAGACTTAAAAAAGACGTTTAGAAGACACATCTTAAAGACAACTATTTGGTACAACCAGGCCGTTGAAGACGTCTTTAGAATGTCTTAGTCCTAAAGACGACTTTGGGCAGACGTCTGAAAGACGTTGGGCTTTGTAATATACGACGTCTTTAAGACGCCTTGGAGACGTAAGCAAGACGTTTTGAATATCGTTTGTGAACATCTTAGGAACGTTTCTAGAATGTCCACAAAAACTTCCTACTTAATAATTCATTTCTTATTCAATTCAGAAGTTACTGAAAACCTTAGAATGCTACAGAACTGTCTAGAACTTTAATGAGTTTTCTTGCAAAGTTCAAAACATTTAAAATTTAATTCAGAATTTCCAAAAGCATTCTGTAGGAAATACTAGCAAAAAAATGTAATGTCTTGATAATTTTTCCTATTCCAGAGTCTTGATTTTTCCGTATTCCTTTATTCTAAATTCTTAATTTTTGGCTCTTGAATTTTTTCATTCCAATTTCTTGAATTCTCATTATTCCCCTATTTTATAATTTCAGGCTCTTGATTTGTTTTTTAATGTTCACTCCTGGAATGAAATATTACTCCTGAAGAAGTCTTTAAGCAGACGTCTGAAAGACCTTGGGTTTTGTAACATATGATATAGATACGTCTTTAAGACGCTTTGAAGAAGTAAGCAAACGTCTTGTGGACATCTTACACGAACGTCGTTAAGATGCCTCTGTGCTGTCTGGGCAATCTCATGACTGAAGTCTTCGGATACAAGTTCGTTGAGCTGGCATTCTCTTGCAGTTTTGCCAGCTGATTTTCCTCTCATATATGAGTTGCTTTTGCGTTCTCCATACAGAGTGATCGTTCACATTGAGTTCTTCTATTATATTCCTCTTAGAGCAGCCTTTTCAAGTTTCATGCTGAGCTGATTTGGAGTAATCCTGTTCTCATTCAATCTTAAATTTCTGTATTCTCTACGGAATTTTCTGGTATTCAGTAACTTTGTTGCAAGTTTGCTCTCTGGGTCGATTACTTGGTAATCTGATGACAAAACGTTTTTTATGTCCTTCCAACCAATGACGGTGTTGAAGTTCTAAACTTGGAATTTGCTGTTGAGATCTCCAATGATTATGGTGGGAATTATCCTTTAAAGTACCTAGATCCTAGATGTCTTCTTCCAAAATTAGATTTTTAGAGAGGTAAGTGAGCTGAAGTTACACCCATAATTTTCCTCTGACTTTCTCAACTTCAAAATTTGCTGTCTTTATTTCACATTCTTCTAGAAGAAGGTATTCTAGAAGTAGGTTTTTCTTGAAGTAGCCCTACGTTGATTTTTTGTCCAAACATTCTTCTTCTAAGCTCACTAGTGGCAGCTTTTGAGTGTTGAAGATTTATTTGGATGCATTTGATGCATGGTGAGTTGCTTCTCTTTGGTTGCTTGGAGGGAGCCATTAGAGTTGCACTCACTTTTCGCACTCCACCTGGGCACTTTCGTCTCTATGACTCATTGAGTCTTTAGACGTTCCTGCCCTCGGTTCGGCGCCGCTTTTCTTTGGGGAGCTTGGTTGCTCCATAGCTGTTGTGCTTCGGCTGCTTTGCGGTTTTATAGTCGTATGACCGAACTTGTAACTCACCGCGTAGCCTCCGGATTTGAGTTTTTCTGCGGATGCACTGTCCACAGAAATGGTTAGTGTGACCAGATGGCCCTCGGCGTTACGTCGGATGACTCGCCAATTTTTGACGTTTAGGCCCTCATTTTGGCCTTGAACGAGATTGAGGATTTTCTCCGTGGAGTAATCCATGCTGCTTGGGAATCGAGCAGCCAGGACGTCAGAGTGAGGAATGTCAGATTCCTCTATCATCCTTAGCGAAGCTTCCTCCCAAGGCTTGATGGAGGCGACTGCAGTTTGCAGCCACTTCTTGGTGGCTATGTTTTCGCAAACTAGAGCGAGCCAGCCGGGTCTGTTGTGGGCGCTCAGAAACTTCGGTTTGACCGGGCAATCCGATGCTACCTCGTCCACGATCTTATCCATAATCCAATATACCAGTATATTGCTACTCACCACTTGCCATTACTTCATGACTCGCGTATCCTCTAAATATTATTTCCTGCATACGAAACAAAATGGTTTCCAGAGAAAATGCTTCGGGAATGAGCGTGCCTGAATCCCTGGCATCTAAAACACAAATTTGAATTATAAAATATTAGTCCTGAAGACGTCTTTAGGCTAACGTCTGAAAGACGTTGGGTTTTGTAACATACGAAATAGATACGTCTTCAAGGCACTTTGAAGACGTAAGCAGACGTCTTGTGAACATCTTATACGAACGTCGTTAAGATTCCTCTGTGCTGTCTGGTCAATCTCATGACTGAAGTCTTCGGATACAAGTTTGTTGAGCTGGGATTCTCTTGCAGTCTTGCTAGCTGATTTTCCTCTCATTTATGAGCTGCTTTTGCATTCTCCATACAGAGTGATCGTTCACATTGATTTCTTCTATCAAGATGGAGATTGTATTCCTCTTAGAGCAGCCTTTCCAAGTATTATGCTGAGCTGATTTGGAGCAATCCTGTTCTCATCCAATCTTCGATTTTTGTATTCTCCACGGAGTTTTCTGTTTTCAATAGTTTTCACTTCGTTGCAAGTTTGCTCTCTGGGTCATTACTCGGAAGTCTAATGACAGTAAGTTCTTGGTGCCCTCCCAACCAATGACGGTGTTGAAGTTCTAAACTGGGAATTTGCTGTTGAGATCTTCAATGATTATGGTGGGAATTATCCTTTGAAGTAACTAGATCCTAGATGTTTTCTTTCAAAATTAGATTTTTAGAGAGGTAAGTGAGCTGAAGTTACACCCATAATCTTCCCTCTGACTTTCTCAACTTCAAAATTTACTGTCATCCTTCATTATTGACTTCTAGAAGAAGGTGTTCTAGAAGTAGGTTTTTCTTACCAGTATATTGCTAAACTCACCACTCGCCATTACTTCGTGACTCGCGTATCCTCTAAATATTATTTCCTGCATACGAAGCAAAATGGTTTCCAGAGAAAATGCATCGGGAATGAGTGTGCCTGAATCCCTGGTATCTGAAACACAAATTTAAATTATAAAATATTAGTCCTGGAGACGTCTTTAGGCAGACGTCTGAAAGACGTTGGGTTTTGTAACATATGATATAGATACGTATTTGAGACGCTTTGAAGACGTTACCAAACGTCTTGTGGACATCTAATACGAACGTCGTTAAAATGCCTCTGTGCTGTCTGGGCAATCTCATTACTGAAGTCTTCAGATACAAGTTCGTTGAGCTGGAATTCTCCTGCAGTCTTGCCAGTTGATTCTCCTCTCATTTATGAGCTGCTTTTGCATTCTCCATACAGAGTGATCGTTCACATTAATTTCTCCTATTCCATCTTGATTGTATTCCTCTTAGAGCAGCCTTTTCAAGTATTATGCTGAGGTGATTTGAAGCAATCCTGTTCATTCAATCTTCGATTTCTGTATTCTCTACGGAATTTTCTGTTTTCAGTAACTTCGTTGCAAGTTTGCTCTCTGGGTCGATTACTCGGTAGTCTGATGACAAAACGTTCTTGGTGTCCTTCCAAACAATGACGGTGTTGAAGTTCTAAACTGGGAATTTGCTGTTGAGATCTCCAATGATTATGGTGGGAATTATCCTTTGGAGTACCTAGATCGTAGATGTCTTTTTTCAAAATTAGATTTTTAGAGAGGTAAGTGAGCTGAAGTTACACTCATATTCTTCCCTCTGACTTTGTCAACTTCAACATTTACTGTCTTTATCTTACATTCTTCATTATTGATTGCTAGAAGAAACTGAAGAAAGTGTTCTAGGAGTAGGTTTTTCTTACCAGTATATTGCTATTTACCACTTGTTATTACTTCGCGAGTTGCGTATTATCTAAATATTATTTCCTGCATACGAAGCAAAATGGTTTCCAGAAAAAAATGCATCGGGAATGAGTGTGCCTGCATCCCTGGCATCTGAAACACGAATTTAAATTATAATAAATCTGGCACCGAAAACATGGGTAGTTGATTTCACTAATACAGCTGCTCCAAAAAGCTAAAAACTGACGATTGAAAACATTCTAAGAAAAAGTGAGTCACAAATTACTAGGTATCAACGAAGGTCATTATCCGAGACCAATCCGAGACGTGTCCTGGCCTCCTCCAGATTACGATCAAAAAACCCACCTCCGATCCTCCTTTAAAGATGTCGTCATTCCAGGTAAAAAAAAAAACACTCTCAAAATGCTCTGAGACAGTGTGCGCATCTGTGTCTTTTCAAATCATCCCTTCCACCACTATCATTATCATACTCAGTGTCCTAGGCATAGATAAATATAAATAAATGTGTTTTTTTGTGCGGTTCACATGCAACGTATGTGCATTTAGTTAATTGTAAACTATTCGTGAGATATTTTCGTTCAGGTGTAAGTGTCTTTAAATAGGTATATGGGGACATCGTTTTGACATTACTCGGTGAAGATTTCATTGAACGCAGCTATGCGGAACAAGCTTTGAGCTTTCTGGAGAAAATTTTAGTGAATACTTTTTAGTGCTCAAAGATGTTGATGATATTTGAAGGAGCCAATGTATATTTTTTATGTGTACCTACTTCTTTTTTGGTCTTACTTACTCTTAAAATACTTTTAATGTGTTCACAATATTTTTGCATGAAGCAGGCTAATTTGGTCAAGAAGAACAATTTTAGTCTTTTACAAATTGACCCGATTTTGTTAACAGAATTAAGTAGAAAGTTTTTATGGAAGAACGAAACTACATTATAAAAATATTGTTTTGTTTTTTTGGAAAATCCTAGAACATCTCTCTGGGTGGGCCCTGGCATAAAAAAAATGATTTTTGTTTTTCATTCATTTTAATAAATTGTCTGTCATCAACAGATCCGTTTTTTGGCTAACCAGTGTTTTTGAAAAAATATGTTCGTTTTGGTTCAATTTTGTGTAATATCTAACATCTATTTTTGTTCTTCATCCTTTTTCAGCTTTTTGTATTTATAATAATTTACTCTATTCCTGAATTAAATATTTAATATTTAGAGAAATACAAAAGTTTCCATGCTTTGTTACAAATTTAAAAAAGTTGAACAAGTGTTGAATATAAATCCGTAGGTCATTTCGAAGGCTGGGAACAGTATTAAAAATGAAACATAAATAAACAATAAACAATAGCTCCTCGAAACAAAACTACCAAAGGTAGGTATGCAAACTTGAAAAATATGAGAAACCCTTTTAAAAAAATTGAAGAAGTAGTCCATATCTCATATCTCAAATATTTAAAAAAGTTTGTTATATTGAAAAACTTTAAACAAAATATTAAAGGTTATGCAACTCTAATTTTCAACCAACCAACATAATTATTTTGAAATATCATTATTTCTAGTTTGCATAACTTCTATAAGTTAATTGTTAACTTTTTTCAATGTTTTTGACAATGTTCGAGACTTCTAAATCGGCTTAAACAAATGCCAACGGATTAGAAATTTCCTCAAATAAGATTTTAAACTAAGCCTTCAAGCTTATAGAGCTCCGTTAACTAAAAAAGTGTTGAAGGTTATTTCAAATCCCCGTGTTTATAGTTAGTACCTTGACTAACCCACTGCCGAAATGACGAAATTTGTTGGCGCTTTTTCAAAAAAAAAAAAAAAAAAACTCCTGAATCACATCAGTGAAATAAATATACCCTGCGGGCTCATGCCAGAATTATTAAGGATTGCCGCCGGTATTTTGGGATCTCGTACTCTTATCTGATTCCTAAAATATTTCAGGCAGGTTTAGTATAAGCTTAATTTAGGAATTTCAGTTGGAGTTTCTAATTTTTTCATCGAAAAAATAGAAAGGTTCAGACAGCCTTTTTAACTGTTTAATGTAATGTAAGGAAAATTCGTTTCCATACTTGATATTTTTCAATTTGATTAATTTCAGCTATATAGTTTTTCCTCTCTGATTTAGTCTCTCGTTTTTCTGACCTTGTCTCTGTTTTTTTGGGAATTGGAAATTACAGCTTTCTTCTGGATAATTTAAAAAACAAATATCTTACATCGGAATTTTCTTTGGTTTCTTTTCCTTTGGAAAATATTTCTTTTCTTTCTGTTACTGTTTCCTGATTTTCTTCTTTTTCGGAAGTGAGGAAATCTACTTTAAATATTATTTCTTCAAATCTTGAATTCTTGAAACGTTTAGTAAAGAAAAGTAAATGTTGCAACCATGTATGCACTGTGAAGTTTTTGGGAATGAGGGCGCTACAGGAAAAGCGTAGGTACCGGAGGGTAGATAAAAAATGAGAGACGGGAGAAAAATCTTGTCCCTTGGACCGTTTGTCCGCCATTGTTCATTACTCAATTTTTATTTTGTATTAAACTGATTGTTCAATCCAATTTGTGATTAGTTTGTGTGTCATAAGTAGCATTCACAGGTCAGTTAAATAAATGTTATTTTGTTTTTGAGAGTTCAATTTATACAAGTATTATTTTTCCACTTTTATGTTTATTGTTTGATTATAACATTTTTTTTCATAACATGTGCATTGTTCAAGTATTTAACAAAAGTCGTTTCATGCTGAAAACAATGCAGATAAAAAGTAAATTTAAATCTAAAGAAATTATGTGCTCTTTTGTGCTGGGATTTGAATTTTTTATATTCATTAGGGCCTTGTTGAATCTACTAACATTTTCCTACTCTGACGAGCGAATATCCTGGTAAACAAATTGAAAAATCAATTCAGAGATATTGGCTCAAAATAACAACTATAGCTGAGTCGCCTCCCGTACGGGACCTCAGTACCTGCTGGTGAAACTGGTTAACTAACCAAAAACTCTTCAGTATTGAATACAGGTAGTGTTGATTGAATGAAGTGTGTGTAGTTGAAATTTTAGCACAAGAACAGGGACGGTAACCAATTTAAACTTTCATTGACTCACAATTACAATTATTATTAAAATGCCACAGTATGTTTTGATTTTTGAGGAATATTAGATCGAGGGCTTCTTTGCTGTGCTGTTTTCTTTAGTGAGTTCCAGGTCGAGAACGGTACGATTTTCTTTAATAATAAATTGGACGTTTCATACATTTTTAAGTTATGTTGAGTAAGTTTCCACAACGTAGGTCCTATTTGTTTTTCATTTCGTTTTTCAGAAGATTTGTTAAAAGAAGAGATAATAAAAATTCAAACCGTTCAATCTTGCTGAACGAACCCGGGTATGTTATACTACAGAAGGTTCTTCCTTTTCGTTACCTACTGTTTTCTCATTATTTTTTGTTTCCGTTCTTCAGTTGTAACTATATATCATTATTATCTTTTTTTTTAAGCTATTTTTCTCTACTATTGCTTCTTTGTTATTTTCTGTTCAGTAACATTCTTTCTTGAGCATTTTTTTATTATTTGTCTATTCAAGAACAGGGGTATTGTTTCTTCAAACAAAAAACAAGAGGACAACCACATCCAGAGCAGCTAAAGAGTTGTTTACCTAGCTCACAGTTGGAAATTGAAAAATTGCATTCATGTCGGAAACTTACACTCAAAAAAAAAAATAGGTACCTATTATTATGGATGAGGAATTCTGAGCATAAGCAGAATCTTCTTATGTAGACGTAGAATACTATTTTAAATATTCTGATACAAGGGACACTCCTTGATTTGTCAGAATAGTATGAGAATCTTCTGACGAAATTATTTTTAAATATTTCTCGCACTTCCACGTAGCTATTAAAATTGTCCACCACCCACTATTTAATAAATTATCTTGATCAAAAACTCATACTATATTTATGTTTCATATAATTTTAAGCTATCTGTTCTTATCAATCTTCTGTATTTTTCCCACTAGGAGCAAAAAGGGTAGCGTGGCCTCCTCCACAAGAAGGTCTCCTAGATCCAGCTGAAAGTCATCAAAACAATATCTCTGTTGCACAACCCCAGGTACCTACATTTTTTTTTTTGCAAACCCGAACACAAGTTAACAAGTATCTACTACAAGCCCGAACAAAATTATTATCGTTTTATTTCCATTAGGGAGGACCTTACAATTCCAACCAGTCTCCCGGCTTGCATCAGAATAACAACTACTCACAACAGGCAACTCCCTATCAACAACAACAACCCCAATCCTATCGTCCCTTGAAACCTTTGGACGTGAGCTCAGTCGGTACTGGATCGCCTCTGGCTTCTCCAGCCCACAATCAAAGTCCTCACGGTTACAGACCGACCACTCCTGCTAGTTCTAAGGGCTGGGCTCCTGTTCATTCTCCCGCTACCACGCCTCAGGGCACTGGCAGTCAGAAATACTTTGGGGCACCTCAGCAAGGGTATCCTAATCAGCCACAGTACCAACCTGTTTCTCAACCCTATCAGCAAAATCAACCACAATATCAATCTCCTCAGCCTCAATACCAACAACCCCAATATCAATCTCCTCAGCCTCAGTATCAGCAGGCTAAGCCCAACTACCAGCCACAAAATCAATCTCCTCAATACCAACAACCCCAATATCAATCTCCTCAGCCTCAGTATCAGCAGGCTCAGCCTAACTACCAGCAACAACCTTCTCAATATCAACCACAACCAGATCCATACCATCAAAACCAAGCTCCCTACCAAGCTGCGGTTGCTCAAACTCAGGTATGCAAGAATTTTTCAGATAATTTTTTTTTTTTGTTGCTTTTTTCAATACAATGACAACGAAGGTGCTTTTTCGTTTTTTGAAACTCCTATTCAGCGACCTCTATATAACTTTCATTTCCTCTACTAACATAACATGTCTTCATCTATACTTGTTTGTTTCTACAATGTGACAATAATTATTGACCGGTTAGGTATTTGTTTCTACTCACTTATTTTCAGGTAGCAGCTCCCCGATCACAACCAGCTAGGCAAGTAGAGCCACCTCCATCTACGATCACTCTTAGGGCATCGGCTCCAGTGAGTCAGGCTCCGCCACCAGTTTTTTCTACACAACCAGCCACGGCGTCCCTTAAAGGTCAGTAACCATAACCAAATGAAACAAATATACTTACAGGGAGACAATTTTACGAACCTACTTTGTGTTGCACATCGTTGGACAGCTCTTTGCTTACCATTTACAGTCTTATAGCAAAATCTTGAATCGTAGTTTTTGAGATATTATTTGTCAAAAGTATAAGCAACATTTTTGATCAGCAAAGTGGCACTTTGTGTGATGTGTGGGCGAAACTACTTTATAGTTGCTAGTTGTATAGATGATGTGAATTGGTTACAAATTGTGAGGGCTAAAGAAAACGTTCAAATTTGTCTATTTTGAACCAATTGCTGACTCCTATATAATACCCAATAAGTATTATATATTTCCTATTACCGGAGCTGGAATTATTGAAAATTCATAAGAATCGTGCACTTTGTGCCAATTTTTTGAAATTTGGTATAGTCTTAGGTATGGTTTAAGGTTTTAGAAAACCATCGCAAGCAACTCTGGTTTGCTATAAAACATCTGCAAGTGCAAGTTGAACGAATTATTAAATTATATGAGGAATCTGAACTCATTGAAGGTCAATGTCAACGACGGTTCACCGGTAACTGTTATAATCAGCGATCACGCACCGAGGTCGCTGATTTAATATAAAATAATGGTTTTTGGAAGATGAAATGGTAGTCTACAGACCGAGAATTAACCGCGTTAGTTAGTCAATAATAAGAATGCCTTTTAGTCCTGTGATAATTATTATTGACAATGCCCATATCTGAAATGTATTTGTGGTAAGCTTTATTTTATTTTAAATACACTTTCCTATTTTTGTACTTGGCTCTAGTTTTGATTCTCACCCCCTCATAACCCCCATGTCCGACATATGCTGGTGGTGCGTGTTCTTTCCTTTTCGCCAAATCTTACTATTTCGTGTAATTATTTTGTACAATTTTTTTCTTTTTGGGTGATACGCGAATCAAAACTAGAGCCAAGTACAAAAATAGGAAAGTGTATTTAAAATAAAGCTTACCACAAATACATTTCAGATATGGGCATGGGCACTATAAATTGTAGCAAAACGCATTCAAGTACTCTATTTGATTAGTTAGATGGTAAATGGCGAGCGGTATATTAATGGTGTTTATCTCCTTGAGCGGCTACCTATAAAATTGTGGAGGGGGTCTATTTGCAAAAGAGAGAAACAAACTATTGAGGTTTACTAAATTATATTTTATTATACTTAAAACCAAAATTAAAATCAAGCAAATATCTTTCTATTCTGACAGCCACTTCTACTTTTCCCAAATCAATTTATTTCACATCCGTTCAAATTTAATTACTACGGACCAGGAAATATCCATACAAAAAAAAAAAAACGATCTACTTCTTTTCTTAATAACTTATAAGTTTATACATTAATCTTTCAAACAACACTTCCGATTCACATTCCTAATAAAACTACCCTTCACCTATAACTATAAATTCTTAACACTCCTAAATCATTTACTGACTGCTTATGCAAAATAATTATTCAAGTCATAATCTGACTCACTGAATTAAGTATATATATATTACCAACTATATTTTTATAAAATCTTACAATAATTTCTAAATGAATAAAACCATAATTCAAAATTTCAGCACTTAAGGTCATTAATGTTACAACATGGACAACAATTTTCAAACAAAACTTTTTATCAATTTAATCAGAACAATTACTATTTTCGGATTCCTAGCCAACAAACACAATTATTTAAATTCTTATTAGTTCGTTACTATAGCCCTTAAACTTCAATTGGACAATCCAATTCAAAATTCTTCAATAATTCCTACTCAAAATCGATACTTGTTAAGTGCATTATAAATTCCCTCTTTGTTAATTCTTTGCAAAATTAATTAAAATGTCATTACACTCGAAGACAATTAAATTTATGCAATAATGTTCCATAGTCAAAACAGTCGAATTATTAATATTTATGCAATAAAGTTCCAAAGTTAACTCACTTCATAGTCATTCATCATTTAGTCAAAAAGTTTTACTAGTCACTAGAGTACTTACATTTAACTTTTCACACGTGAAATTACTTAATTTAATTTACTTCAAAAATCTCTAGAGCTCGCACATAATGTTAAACGAATTAAAATGTTCTTTCTTTCACAATTTTTCGTTACTTTTTCAAAGATCCAATCAAACGCGTTTTCCCCGAGGCAAAAATACAAGAAACTCTTCGCGAATTTTTATCCGGACTGACTCATTAGGTAGGTACTGTAGACTTTAACTCAAACTGGACTGACCTAACAACTTAAAACTCAACTGCCCTCCACTTCTAAAACCGTTGTATTTATCTTTTTTGATTCCCCCCAAAATATTAATAATTACCAACCAAAATCGACAATGGGCGGTCGTTTGATCATCTATATTTCAATTCTATTGGTCGACCTAGATATTATTCCAAAAATTAATTTCATCATTTGGAGGATGATGCAATCTGTTCGAAATTTTTGTCATTTTGGGTCCAATTTAATTAGGTGCTTAACCTTGTAAATGATCTCTTCCGGGTTTTTATTTGTTTAAAATCGAATAATCATGTCGCAATTTCCTGGTTTATCGGGGTCAACAGATTTGGTTCAAGAATTTGAGGACAACACAAAGAAAGCCAAAAAACACGTGCGGCCATACATCACCTATTCAACTACTTTGGCCTCGCTTTCAATAATTTTATGAATTTGATTTAGATGATGACATCACTCTTGGTGACTAAATAATAAAATTTTAAAGTATATGAATATTTTAATTTAATTTGGGGTCAACGCTAATTTGTTTCATTTTCAGTTTATTGATACTGATTTCAAATACAGGTAATTCAGTTTTCGATTATTTGATTACATTTAATTTTTATAGTTAAAAAATTGTAAATTACGGGTCTATTTTCCCGGGTCATTACAAAATTATCGCAGGAATTAAAGGCACTATTATTACTGACTAACTAACGCGGTTAATTCTCGGTCTGTAGACTACCATTTCATCTTCAAAAAACCATTAACCCGGTGCGTGATCGCTGATTATAACATTTACCGGTGAACCGTCGTTGACATTGACCTTCGATGGATTCAGGTTCCTCATATAATTTAATAATTCGTTCAACTTGCACTCGAAACTTGTGATGTGACGTGATCAATGATTTTCCTGAAACCCATGAACCTTCTTTGGAAGACGATGCCCTATTATCCTAGATACGACAATATAATTATAAGAATAATATGATAATGACGAACAGACATTGCGGGCCATGTATAAACGTCAATTCGAGACTATTGCAATGGCTGATAGTTGGAGCTCTGATTACATGGCTACAGGGTTGATTGTAGCATAATAAGGTAAAACCAAGAGCAAGGCATCAAAAAGCTGCAGAAAGCCTACAAGAATTTGAAAGCGACATCCGCCCCCTGATCAATTTGGGTTATCCGGAAGCATCAGTAAAAATGCGAGAACAATTAGTGGCCGAATACTCTATAGATAGAGTACGAGATATGGATGTACTGGGAACGCTGCTCATAAAAAAAAAAAACATCAGTAGCAGCGGAGCTTTGATCATAGCCTTAGAAATTGTAGCGGCATAAGATATCTAAGCCAAAGATCAAAGCTGTGTCAATACAAGAGGAAAAAAGAACCAATGAGTTAAATTAAAGGCACATTTAAGAAAATTGTGGAACAAATGCGAAAGGTTGGTTTCAGAATAGCAATCAAGGGAACTGGGAAGGGGGCATTGAATGTTACCGCTGCGGTAGAAAAGGACATTCAAAACGTGACTTTAGAGTACGGCTAGGATCTCGCTCTCCTTCTGGGTGACTCTCAGCCTTCAAATTAGAACCAAGAAAACTACAATAAGCCAACACACAGAGGCGGGTATTGGCTAGTGCAAGTGAAGCCCCACCAAACCACTAAAATGCCAGGAAAGACTGCGGAGAGTTTGACGATTGAAGGAAATATAAATGGGAGAAATATCATCTTAACAGTGGACACATGGGCAGCCGTATCTCTTTTAAATTCGAGCATTGTCAAAAAGTTTCAATGCAAAGCCACTTTCAAGGGGAGTGATTTTGCACACAGTGACTGGAGAGTCCGCAAATGTGCATGGAAAAACAGAAATTGACCCGAGATTAGGTAATATCAAGATCTGTCATAAATTGCTGATAAAGAAAATTAGTTTATTTTGGGTATGGACTTGATCAGTTAACATGGTTTTGCATTCGACAACCAGCTCAACATCCTGAAATTTCGCACTGAAGAGTTTGTACTGTCGAAACCCAAGGGTCCAAAGTACTTCACCGTAAGAAGAGCTACAAAAACTGTGCGAACGATAATTAACCCATTAAAAGTGGTATTAGGTTAAGATTTTGTCTCTTATAGAAGAGCATATCTTAAAAATATCAATACAGATGGCGGCCATATTGGATTTATAGCCAACACTCCACCAGGGCCCGTATTCTCGTAAACGGGGAACAGCGTTCTATCAAGAGAACGATTGCTCTGTCTTTGTCAGTATTATGAAAATTACAATATGGGTGACTAAGACGAAAAATCGTTCTCTTGAGAGAACGCTGTTCCCCGGTGACGAGAATACGGGCCCTGACCACCAGACGCTGCGCACAAGTTGTTTGCGATAGTTTCCTAAAACCTCAAGACCATACCTAAGACTATACCAAATTTCGAAAACTTGGCACAAAGTGCACGATTCTTATGAATTACCCATATGCTTTATATGAAATCGGCTTTGGAAATCAATTTCATGCAGCGCCAGAAAACTTTTAAAAAAAGACATAAAATTTTGATTATCTATAACGCAAATCACTCTAATGGCACACCATTTTTATGCATTTCGCACAATACTCACTCACTAACTAAAAAAAATCAAAATTTTATGTTAATGCCCGATTTTAATTCCGCATATACTAAACAGTTGTTGTAGGTGGCAAGCACCTTCGCGGTGACTTGAAATGGCCTCCAGAAGACGTCAGACAACGAATGGACGAAGAAAATAGAAAATTGATGGAATTGGCCAGAGGTCCGGCCTGCAGGCCACCAAGGAAAGAAAGAGATTACACACCTTTCTTCGAACAACACGCCCTTAATTCAACTTATCCTGGCTATAAAATACCACCTGGTACTCAGTATTTTAGGCCGGAGTAGAATTTAGCTTTTATGATTATGTGATATAATTAGATTTGCTTTTATTTTGAAGGAAAACAATTCTAACACCTTTATTCTCTATCGAATTCTGGTTTTATTATTTTTAGAGAGCTTAAATGTATTTTTGTAAATAATTGCCTACTTATATGTTTTAGTAAAATAAAGCTGCAAACAGCTGTACTGATGATTAATTTTATTGCAGCTGTGCGAATCAATTAATATATCTTGGTAAATGATTTTCAGGTTGCAACCCCCATGATATACTTTTTAATTTGCTTTTTTACTAGAAAGAATCTCATTTTTTAGTGAAACTAGTCATCAACCAACAAAAAAAGTTACCTGGTATTTTATATAATCCTAACCCTTATAATAGATATTTATTCTGCAGAATTTCTATATTTAAGGTATCTATTTACTTTCAACACCAAAAAAAAAAAATGTGTTTTAAACTACTAACAAACAAAAAATATGCGATATTTGAATTTTTTTGCCCGATATAATGTGCCGCTTTTCGACAAAATTTATTAATATGTATCGATACGAGCTTTTTGCTAATTTATTTATGCAAATTTTATCCCATTGAATAGAAATTAAAAATTGTACTGTGTACGACATAAAAAATAAATAAAATTTTTAATAAATTAATGCCTTGTAAATTTCCCATTTCAGGAGTATCACCCTCTAGAATAAGATAACCACTTCTAGTGAGCATGATTTGCTTGATACAATATTGGTATGAATAATTGGTCACATCATCGTGGAATATAATATTGAAGTGTTTGGATAGATATATTGTTTTCGTGAGCAAATTTTTTTTTTTGGTTTCTGAGCTCTGAGTGCTAACAATATAGGTACAGTTTTTTAATAAAGGGAGAACCTTATAACTTGTAGCAAATGCGCCCAAGTACTCTTTTAATTAGTTGAATGGGTAAATGGCGAGCGTTTTTAATGATGGTGTTTATTTCCTTGGGCGGCTACTAATAAAATTGTGGAGGGGGTCTATTCGCAAATGAGAGAAACAACTGTATTAAGGTTTGCAAAATTATACTTTATTTCACTTAAATAATTGAAACCCAAATTTTGCCAGTACAAGTGATAAATAAAACTAATATTTTCCCAAAGTCTTACAGCCACCTCTAGGTTTGCCAATTCAATTTACTACAACACTTTCCAAACTTTAGCAAGATTCTTCCTTTATTATTCGGAACTGGAATTATCCTTATTATAAAGCCTTACTTCGATACTCTCAATATCTTATAACCATATCATTCACTCTTCTACACAATACTAAATGGATTCGATACAAATTTTACATAAAACTATCATTACCTTTATTTATATATATATATATATATATATATATATATATATATATATATATATATATATATATATATATATATATATATATATATATAGTACAACGGTCGAAATTTGATCGTGGCGCCATCTAAGACAAAACCAAATATTTTCTCATCAGTGAATAATATGTTTTCCTATTCTGGGTTTTCCCACGAACTGAATTTTGGTCGGCCGATTTGATTCTCAGTCACCATATTGCAGCGAAAATTGCTGCTTGGTGTTGAGGTTTTGTCTTAGATGGCGCCACGATCAAATTTCGACCGTTGTACTATGTATATATTGCCTACAGGCACGAAACTTGGTCAGGTCAGACCAAGTTTCGTGCCTGTAGGCAATATATACATAGTACAACGGTCGAAATTTGATCGTGGCGCCATCTAAGACAAAACCTCAACACCAAGCAGCAATTTTCGCTGCAATATGGTGACTGAGAATCTAATCGGCCGACCAAAATTCAGTTCGTGGGAAAACCCAGAATAGGAAAACCTATTATTCACTGATGAGAAAATATTTGGTTTTGTCTTAGATGGCGCCACGATCAAATTTCGACCGTTGTACTATGTATATATTGCCTACAGGCACGAAACTTGGTTTGGTTTTCTTTGCTTTTCCTAGCCATACTGATGAGACCTGATAGGTCGAAACGCGTCTATGGATGGAAAAGCATAGAAAATCAAACCAAATATTTTCTCATCAGTGAATAATAGGTTTTCCTATTCTGGGTTTTCCCACGAACTGAATTTTGGTCGGCCGATTAGATTCTCAGTCACCATATTGCAGCGAAAATTGCGGCTTGGTGTTGAGGTTTTGTCTTAGATGGCGCCACGATCAAATTTCAACCGTTGTACTATGTATATATTGCCTACAGGCACGAAACTTGGTTTGGTTTTCTTTGCTTTTCCTAGCCATACTGATGAGACCTGATAGGTCGTCTATGGATGGAAAAGCATAGAAAATCAAACCAAATATTTTATATATATATATATATATATATATATATATATATATATATATATATATATATATATATATATATTTTAGTCATTTACTGACAAACTTGTTGTACAAAATTGTTATTCATAATCATGAACCTAGTCAGATTAATTATTATCAACATTATTTTAATTAAAATCGTTACAATAATTCTAATTGATTAAACTTTTAATCAAAATTCAGCAAATTAGACATCCATCTTACTTCAAGTATAAAACATTTTAATTAAAACTTTTCACTACTTCAATGATTAAATCTGTTACTAAGGATCATATACTTAAACCAGATCAATATTACTTTTCAAATTCCAGGTCAACATTACACAATTTATTTAAATTCTACTACTAGAGCCCTTAATCTTCAATAGTCAAATTCAATTCAAAATCTTTAATAAATTTGTTCTACTAATCGGCAATCGTTAATTGCATTATATTTTTCTATTTAAACTCTTAGCAAAAATATTCAAAATTCATTTCACCCAAAGTCAATTAAATTTTTGCAATGATGTTCCATAGTCATTTCACATTCATGGTCATTGCAATTAATTTCAAATAAAAGTCTTCTTTTCTTATAAGTACTTACTATAATAATAATTGTCTTTAAATTCACTACACTGGCTCTAACTATCAAAGTATTTTTGTTTCAATTGCTTAGCACGCACAAAATCGACTAAAAGATTTGAATTTACTTCTAGCTTCTTAACTTGTCAATATAGTCAATTAAATCGCGAATTTAATTTGGTCCCGAGGCAGAAAATAAAGAAAATAACTTTTTGGAGGAGACTCAAATCACTGCCAATCTTTACTGTTCTCTACTATCTTAATGTAAGACTAACGGGTCAATTCTGTGCACATCTGTAAGCAAATCCATAAGTTTCTATAAGCCTATAGACACTGCAAAATGCATCGATTGCCAAACATTCCATCGGAAATATCTACGATCCTATAATAATTATATTCTGTAATCTACAGGAAGTGCAGAATTACAAATTGTCTTTAGGCAGCAATATAGGCTTATAGAAATTTATAGAATTGCTTACAGATGTGCACAGAATTGACCCAAAGGTTTCAATTCTTAATGGGGTAGTATACAACTGATTTTTAACTACTGCGTAGTGATATACTCGACGTATCGTACTATTTAGTGTAATCAATTGCTTTGTAAAAACCACAATACACTGGATTTTTTTTTTAAATTTCCTCTTAGCCCCTACGTGAAAGTAAAAGTTCGTGACGTAGTTAGTTTTTCCAATCTGGTAACACATCACGGTTTTGAGAACGCACAATTTGCACTGACATTGACCTTCAAGAACGAAACGTCAAATTTACTACATCAAGTTACTGTGACCATGTCACATGTCACACGATTCACACGACACCACACGTCGTTGAACTGTTCAAGTCAGCTGTCGTTTTGAGGCATTTTGAGCAGCGTTGCCAGATGGTCAGCGGCTCGAATACTATTGGTCGCCGCTGTGGCTCTAAATTCAAATTACAGTTTGTTTTTCTCTTACTAATTTAGTATCCTACTATACCATCACCATTTAGCCTATAGAATAATGTCGAGCAGTTTTTTCACTGATTTTCATATATAGTATACTACTCCATTCTTGATTCTTAATTGCCTTTTCCTCTCATTTTAATCTGTTTAAATAGTATTTCGATCTCACCATAAATCTCCTAGGGTCATCTCCGCAATGACCCCTCCACCTGCGTGTCCAAATTCAGTATTAATTAGAGTAATGTTGCAAGAATTCTGTTTCCGTTTCCGCTTCTCAAAAACGCCGACAGCGCGTGAACACAATTAAACAAGTTAGCCTTGTAAATAATGTCGTTTGGTGGTTGGATTTATGAGTTTACCCATATAAAAGGTCAAGAAATCTCGTGTCTCTTCCGGTTGCGTAATCTAGTTCATTTGGATTGCTTCCGGTAAAGATAGCTAATGACTATAGAGGGGGGTTCGTATAATAATAATTATTGTTAGATTAGATTTTGACCTTTATCGCTTTAGCGCAGCGAAACAGATGACTACGTTAATTATTATTTTAATTTGAATTCCAATTGAGGCTATTGAGCTATTACTTTATTTTTTTTTTGGGGTCTTCACAAACTCTTCCTAAATATAGTCAAAGTTGAAGTCAAAAGATAGCTTTATTGTCTAAAAACAAAAAAGTTGCGGACAAAGCGGTACTAAAATAAAGTCTAAAAACTAAAGCTAAAGCATTACTCTGTCAAAACAGAGAATGAAAGAACAAAGAACAGAAACAAATTACTAATACCAAAGGATGAGAAACAGACAAAAGTATAAAACACCAAAGTATCGAGCACAATAGGTATACAATGTAGAATAGAGAAAGACATTACGCTTTTTATACATAAAAAATTTAACTCTGTAGTCATTACAATAGAAACAAAACCAAGGACCAACAATATATTACTTCAACCAGTTACCATGGTTTAATTAAAATATATATACTGATCAATAGGTTATAGTATGTTATATAACCAAAAAAACCTCTACCTGCTTGCTAAAACTCTTGTAGCATCCAAGCTTTCTTATTTCTATTGGAAGGTGATTGAACAGTTTTTTATCTCCATATATAAATGATTTTTCTACCAGTTATTAATGTGGTATAGGCAAACTGAGACGAAAAGACTGAACCGTACCGATTTTGAAAAAAATTGGACACAATACAGAGACGGTATTTATCACCTGTCAAAAGACGAATGTGGAACCCTATCGAAAATCTTGAGAAAAAGAAAATAAAAACTCAATGTGAAGTAAATTTTTTCATATTTTCAGCCTCTAAAGTCTAAAACCGTATACCGATTTTGAAAAAATTGAACACATCTGGAAAATCTTTAGCCGACGATAGACCCAGCTGAAATTTCTCCCTTAATTCTTGCCAAGTATCTCTAATAAATATAATAGCAGTATCATCTGCATAGGATATTATCTTGCCAGGTAAATTTAAGTCGTTTATAGAATTATGTACACATTAAACAGCAAGGAGACCAAAACAGTTCTCTGTGGTATTTCCATTTTCACTGTATCTGGCTAACTAATACTATCTCCTATTTTGGTAAACTGTGTTCTATGTGCTGAATAGTTTCCTAATAGTTGTAGTACAGTACATCTTATCTCATAGCTTTCTCGCACTTTCAGTAAAATCTCGTGTGATACGTGTGTCGATGCCTTTGATAAGCCAAGTGAGGAAAATCACTTATTTAAAATATTATTAATTTCTTTGAATCTTAACTTTTAAAAACAAAGTTTACTGAGTAAAAGTAAAT